CACACACACACACACACACACACACACACACACACACAGAAAGCAAACCGCCAGGTTCACGACTCAAACCGTGGTCAGCCATGTGTGAGTGTCCAGTGCCTTAGCCACCATGCCACCTGCTGGTCCCCATGACTTAATTTTTAATATTTTTTTTGCTTATAACTTTTAAGTATTTTAGCATTTTTAAGTCATGGACCAGCCCCATAGCCTAGTGGTTAAGGGAGTTAGATCCCACATGGCAAACTGCTATTTGAATCCTGGTCCTGAGGCTTGAGAAACACTGAGAACATGTGTGTGACCCAAATCCTGATGGAGAAATGGAGGAGAAGTGATTGCAGCATGACCATGCTCCGCTGGGGGTGCTTTATCCTTCTACTTCTGTCTCTTTTAGTTGAGTGCATGCACCTCTGGCAATTAAAGGACCAGTTAGTGTCATGGTAGTTAGGCTGCTGGCTCCCATATGACGGACTACATGGTTCGAGTCTGGGACCTGGTAGCTTGAGCAACATGCACTGCATGTGTGCCCCAGATCCTGAAAGGATAGGAACATGCAGAAGAGAGTGCAGTGTGAGACAATTTCCCCATGGGGGAGGTGCTTTCTCACTTTCTCTGTCTCTCTTCAGCAAGCACTTGTAACTTCTGGCAAAATTAGATATAATAATAAAGTCATATATGTTGAGTGTAGAAAATGAAGAAACATGTTAAGAAAATAGAAATCCTCTGTAATCCTACTTTCATAGACCCTCATTTTAGATCTTCTCCCATATGGACTGTAATGTTCTTTTCCTTATTTAATCTCTCTGTTTGAGAGCTGTAAATTTTTTTTATTTTTTATATATTTTTTTATTCCACAAACATCTGAGGTCTTGTTATATATCAGCCAGGCCATGGAGTACAAAGCCCATAGTTATTCTTCTCAAAGAACATGTATAACTGATACCAGGGGGCTAAATGTGTGGAACAGACAAGATGTGGAAAGAGTACATGTTTGTGTAGTAGTCTCCATAGCATGAAAGCCACACCCCAGGAATTCTCAGGGAACACAGTGGGAAAATAGGGTACAATAGAGCAGTGAGTATCTTCTGAGCAAGGTCGGCCTGTCCCTGTGGACAGGCCAGATGTTGTAGAATCCAACTTTAAAATTTTATGTTTGATTTCCAATCTATGTTGATAAATAATACTGAGCTATAGCAGATAGTAGACCATAAAAATTCCACATTATTCAAATTCCTCTACTATCCATGTTCATAAACATTAAAATAAGTTTGGTCAATAACTTTTGAAGGCTCTGATCAGAGTAATAACATAATATGTATATTATTATTATTTATGAAAGCTTGAGGATCAGTTCTTCTCCTACTGTCTTCACATATTTGGATAATTAGCCCCTGAAAAAGTGGGATATAAGACTCTAGAAAAAGGGAAAGTAAGAAAGACACAGGAAGGGACCAGCAGATGGTGTAATGGTTACATCGGTGGACTCCCATGTGGTTAGCCGTGGTTTGAGTCCTGGACGTGGTGGCATAAAGCTCACATTGGGCATGTGTGTGGGCATGCCCCAAATCTTGAGATGAAAATGGAGAAGTGATAGTGGCATGGCCATCCCTCCTGGGGGGGATGATTTCTTGCTTTCTTTCTCTGTCTCTTGGCGAGCGCACATGCCCTAGAGCAAAAATTTCTCTGAAGAAAAAAGAAAGAAAAACATGGGAATCTTGAGAAGGGAGTAAGGCTCAAGTAGTTCAATGAATTAAGCTATGGTTTTGCTGGTGTAACACAATGGTTACCCCTGAAAAACACCTGACCACCCTTGGTTAGTCCTCTCAAGCAGAGATGAACCTTACACACCAAAATCTGCAACTTCCAGGATTTTCTGTGGTGGAAGAATAAAGGAATCTTGCCCATTGTACTGTAAGGGGTCATAATATTGAAGAGCACAGTAGGGAAGGATAATGGGATGCATCTGGAGACACATGTGGGAGCAGGGACTCAGCCAGGAGCCCAGACCTATGCCTGACCTCGAGGCTAGAGCAGCATTTCCTAACATGTTTTGCCGAGCCTTGGTCCTAGAAGGCTCTGTGAAGAAACTGGTTTCATGATCAAATAGTTGGGAAAGGAATCCCAAAGACATTCACATTTAAATGCTCTTGACAAGCAAGCACACTTACTGTTTGAGTGTTACCAAAGTGTATTTGTTTTTTAGAGCTCTTTACTTCCTCTAATCCTTACTAACTTTCTTAGAGACTAGTGGTTCATGAAAACAGGCTCTGGGAAGCATTTGATTCATATTATTATTAGTCATGACAACAAGGAAGCAATAGAAGCTATCATCTGTCGGACATCATACACCAGATGCTGTTCTGAGCCCTGGGCCCTTGGTGTTGAGCAATATAGACATGCCCCCTGACCTCACATGGAGCAGAGTGGTTGAGTAGGGGCCAGAATTGTATCGCTCTAGCAACCTTTGCTTAGCACTTGTGCCCCTTTAGGCAAGCTATCTACTTTGTGCTTGTTCCCTTACTTGTAAAATGGAGGTTTTAAGAGTACCCACATGAATGGGTTACTGTATGATCAAACATGATTACAGATGTGGAGGGAGAAGTGACATAAATCAGAGTGTGAAAAAGTTGCCTTGGTTTGGAAATGTGAAGAAGACTGGAATTAGGAAAGGAAGACTAGGGAGGGGTAGGTTGCCAATGATGATGTTCTAGTTCCAAGTAGGGACCATCGATGGGGGAAAGAATGGACCGAGAACTCTCTAGTGGAATTAATTGGGCTGTGTACTTGGGATGAGTGTGCAGGGGTATGAGGGAGAGGAAGGGATCGAGACAACACTGATGCTTCTGACCTTTTGTGTCCTCCCCAGTGGACATTTGGCAGTCTAGAGGCATTTTTGTCTGTTGTGGCTGGGGGAAGGCTCTCCTGGCACCTCGTGGGTAGAGACAGGTGATGATCCTCAACACTCTATAGTACATGGGATGCCACTCACAGTGACCAGTGACCAAGAATGACTCAGTTCTGGAAGTCAGTAGTGCTGAGGTTGAAAAGTCCTGGGTCACAGGAATGAGAAAAGTCAGCAAAAAAATTCCAGTAGCTACACGTGCAGGGAAAGTAAATTTAAAACAAAGTAAATTTAAAACTATGCTCCTGTTTCCTCTGGATTAGGAAATGTGTGTTACATTTCTGAAAAGATTAGTTTGAGAGGTGGTGACTTCCCCAGAAACACTAATTTGGAAAACATTTTCCCAGGGCAGGTGGAACCACTGGGAATGCTTTTTTTGCAGCCTCTGCTTCCCAGCTGTGAGACTTCAGGCCAGTTAACTTCCTTGGGCCTGTTTCCTTATTTGGAATATAATTTAATAACAGTT